ATAAATTTATAATGACACCAACAGGAAAAATTCAAAAATTTAAATTAACTGAAGCAATAGTTAATGATTTAAAACAAACTGCTGGCAAACAATAGTTTGATGCATTTCATTATTCTTTTATAATGTTATATTGAACTTCATGATTTTCACCTCTTTTAACATATTAAGATATAGATTTTTTTTATTCATTCATACATTTACAAGAAAAAGATTTCTTCTACTGAATACAAATACTAAAGAATTATGTATGATCGAAAACTTTGAAAAGTTAGTTTGACATCTTGAAAAATAAATTCTTTTTTGCTTGTTTATACTTTTGGAGTATGTTTCTGCATGAAAAACTTCTAAAAGTTAGTTAACATATTGCTTTTCTGGGAAACATAAAAGTACATGGAGGTAAATTTATAAGAATTCAATCTTTTTACTGACCAATTGTATACTATTTTACTTCTCGTTTCATTTATTTTACTAACCAAATATTACATTCCCATTATATTTTAGCTGAACAACAAGCTATTAATACTAATAAACCAACATTAGTAGAAGCAATACCGATTTTGCTTTCATCATAAAATATTATCCTATAATACTTGATTATTTAGAACAAAAATTTCTTATTAAATATTTCTAGATGGAAGATCTGTCATGTTCTTATTTTTAAATACGATGTTCATCGTTTCATCAATGATCATGGAGGAGATAAAATATTTTTATTCGACATACAAGATAATATAAGTGGAATAAATTTCTTAAAATATGATAATTATCTTAATTGTAATTGACTTTTACTATTTTATTTTATAAATAATCTATTATTTAACCTTCCATTATGAAACCAGACTAAGTTAGGAAAAAAATTTACCATAGCTTCAGTCAGATAGTACCATGGTTCAACAGTAATAAGAGTTTCAACTTTTGAACAATTGTCTTTAACTTGTTGTTGATTTTGATTAATTATTGTTAAGAAAAGATCATTATGAATGACAAGTTCGATTAAACATGGAAGATAAGTTCGACATAAAAGTTGTTCAACATAATCCGCATGAATATCATGCAAAATAAGTGTTGTTAAATAACGAAATTCAATAGAATTATTTGTCGCCGAATTTTTTTCTTCTTGTTCAAGAAGATTGACTACTTCAAGCACTTTAAGACGAAGTAAAGTTCGTGCAACACGTTGAAAAAAAACATGTTCGAAAGGCTTGATATCATCAAAAAGTATTAACATAGTAACATTTGAAAATCTGTTTTCAACATTAAATAATGGAAATCGATTCGAAATAAAATCAAGACGAGTACCAATAAATGGAAGAGAATATATTTGACATTGACTATATTGATTATTGAAATAATCAATTGTACAATCAATAGATTGTTTATATTGAATAAAACTTTGACGAATTTTATCGAGTTCTATATGATCAGCATTTTTTAATATTGAACGAATATGAAAATCAAATTGGAATAAATTAGACATATATGGAATAATATCTCGTTGTAAATCAGATCCATCAATAAAATGATTTGATCCATTTTCATTTACATCGATAGCCAATAATAATGTTAAATGTTCGACATTTGATAAACGTTGTAAAAGAGAAATAATACATTGTTCATATTCGAAAATATTTTGATATATTTTCATTTTTAATTCTTTCAATTTAGGACAACATATCTAAATTAAATAAAAAATAATATTAAATTACAAAATAAATAAAAATGACTTACCAATGATATTTTTGATAAATCTGATCTTTGATATAGACGAACGCACATTATGCTCACATCAAATGAATGTAACTGTGCTCCTATTTGATTCAATAAATGAACGCAATCGTCGAATAGACGAAGTGTAATACTGATATGGGTGAGATTATGTGATTGAGGAAAGTATTGTTTATCAGTTGGTGGATTGAATAAAAAAACAGGATCAAATTCGAAGGAGATAATTGAAGACATTGTTGGTGAATGATAAAATGATAGAAGTGGTTCAATAAGTCCACCAGAAATGTAGAAAGGTTGAGGTATATCTGAGAATAAAGGATAACGCCGTACCATGTTAACATCATAAAAGCCTAAAAATATACAAATCAAATTTTCGATTCGGATAAATCGAAAAATTCTCGAACTTATCATCTATCCATAGTATTCAAACATAAACATAATCTATTCATCTTATATGAATTTTATTCATCATATAAAAAACCAACTGGATCGAATTTTTGGGTAGTAGAGTTTCTAGAAAAAACTCTACTAAACGGAATCGAGATAGAACGATATTGAACTATCTAATTCTCTATACTGGAACTATGTTATACAGTTGAAAATATAGTCAAACAAAAAATTCTCCTTCAATCATTAGGATAAAATTTACAAAATACTGAAATCATAAATAAACTCGGTTTTTGTCTAATAAGATGTATATATGTGAATAAGAAAGAAAAAAGAGAACAACTAAATATAAATTACCTGCTCTAAAAGGTCCTCCTGTATCACAATGCAAACGACCAGCCATTATTTTCAAATGCTTTAAATTATTGAGATAATTTTCATCATAAATTGTTTTTTGAATGTAATTAAGATGTTGTACGTGTACAATATCAATTGTAAGTGATTTAATATAATTAAAAATATATGGTAAAGTAAATGATATGAATTCGTAAATAAACATTTCATATGACGAATCAAAACAATCAGAAGTTAGATCGATTGAATGACATTGTTCAAGAGCAAGTTGTTCTAAACGAATATTTTTGATGCCGATCATAGAATAGAGTAATATAGGTCGAGGTTTGATTTTATTCATAATGGCTAAAATGATTTCATCTGGTAAGTCGAGTAATTCGACAAGGTTTTCTATACAAAACAATAAAACAAAATATTCATATTAATAAATAGTTACATACTTGCGTTTGATGAGCAAGTCATTGCTTATTTGACGTATCTGTGAGAATATTGAACATATGCAAATTTATGTACATAAATATATATAGTAGGAGCATTTACTCTTGACGGTCATTGTCTTGAAATAAGGGTAATTATAATCGGCTGAATTTCAGACCGAATAACATTACCACAGTGACCCAAAAAAAAGAATATGTGATTGCTTATCATCGGTCTGAATCATATTCAAGTCATGGATAACCAATCATATTTGTTTTTTTTTCTAGCTTTGGTCGATATCAAGTATCAGATCCACTTATGGGCTCAGTTAGGATCAAACATCAGGAAAAAAAATTTTGAGAAAAAGTTCTACAAAAACAGAAGGTACATTTAAATATATATTTTATTTTCGCGAAAGTTGAGTCCCACAAAACGGTGGCGCTATACTACACTTACAATTTGATAATACTAAAACCAATTTTATCAGCAGTCACCACGATCCACAAATTGTTAATTCAAGATATACAATGATCATATATAAACTAAATATACATAGCTTGAAAGTATCATGAAATTCAATGAATTCAAGAAAATCAAGAAAAATTAAGGAATTCAATAGAATTGCTTGATTTCCAATTCCAAGGCAATATCATTAATGGAAGTAAAGACATCCTGATACGAAACATTTAAGTGAAATTTGATGAATTCAAGGAATTTCATGGCAGTGTTAATCTGTATATCTGTAAATTATATAAGATGATTGAGTTTCTTGAATTACAAACTTCTGGATAATGGTTCCATCTCGCATCTTTCACGAAAAACACATTTTGTTTTTTAATAATTATTTGTTATATAAAATAAATTGAGAACTTCTATTGAAAATATCAATTTATTCTTAAACTTTGGATTCTAATTAGCGCTAAATGCTTTATTAGTGATATAAATTTGAATCCGATCAGAATGTGTTTAAGTCAACATATTAAACATATAAGTACAGTAATGCAATAAAATTGTTAATAATAATAAGCATATATTATATATCTCTGATCAGGAAGCCTGGAAAACTGAAATATTCTAGTGTTTAACAACTTATCGAGGTCCATCTTTTGAGCATATACTTAATCAAAAGGCGATTTGACATCTAAATATCTTCCATTGTGAGAGATTTCACGTGAATTTCATACAGAAATTCTTCCTTTTGGATTTATCTAATTCTTGAAAAAGTTCACAATTACACGAAAATTTTTCTTAGAATCCTTACTCTGCATTGAACTACTTAAATATAGTTGGGTTTTTTGTATTTCTTGTTTTTTTTTAGCTTATTTTTATCACGATCATCTAATAAAGAATATTCTAAAAAAGATCCATCATCATATTTTAATTGCTATTTGTTGTGTATTTTCAATAAATTCTTGAGTTTTTTTTTAATGTAGAAATACAACAAATAGAAAATTATTAAAATCTTTTGCTTCAAATTGTTCTTCTTTCATTTGTATATTATCAGTTGAACCATATTTAAAAAAAAACAAATCAAATAATTTATCTAAAGTAAGATGAATTATTTTTTGAAAAGGTTTTAAATAAAGAGAGTACGATTTTGTAAAGTTAATTAAAGTTCAGCTTGACTATTTGCTAATGAATGTTCTGGATGAAGACGAATTTTCTTTTCTGTTTCATATCCTTATTAAAATCCTCAAAGAGATTTTTAAAGTATATTGATTATTGTTTTAAAATCTTTTGTTAATGATTGAAGATATTTAAATGTTGTTAAGACAGATAATGACACCCAATCACCATATTTTGTTATATAATTTTTAAGAAATTTATCTCGAATCATATTAACATCACTAAAATAATTTTGAATTTATCGAATTATTTTTTGTTCTAAATCAAGTGTATTATAAAACAACTAGAAGCGTTGATACATTGTCATTCTTACTTATACCCGTTTAGGTTGCTCCCCGCCCCGTCCCGCCCCGTATGAGTTTCTCCTCGCCTCGCTTCATCCCAACCCGCCCCGTGTAAGTTATCCCTTGCCTTGCCTTGCCTCGCCCCAGATTTACATTATTTCTTCATCACCTTCTTTTATGTTTATAGGATATTTGTATTTCTTTGACCACATCATTGATTTGACATGATATTGCAAGTAGATACAAAAGCACAACAGTGCCCCTTTGAGTCTGGGATTATTTTTAAGCACTAGGATTTCTTAAAATTTCAAATCAATGTTTATTTTTCAATAATATCATTAAATACACGATTCAGAATGCTTGTGGAGCATGATTGTCCTTAAAACAATCTATTAGACACAACTCCACATCACTCGATACATTCTTACGACGTGTCTCTCCTAGACTTGACTCTTCTCACAGTATGAGCACAAATATAACACTTTCTTTTGGATTTTCTTGAGTGACTGTTGATGCAATGCATGAAGAAAAATGTCGCGCTGTGAGTCGGAGTGGATTTTCAGAGGGTATGAGTGGTGAGTGTGGATGTAGTGTAAGATAATGCCAACATCCGCATCCGCCCATAGCCACACCCACACCCACCCACACCCACACCCACACCCACCCACACCCACCCACACCCACACACCCACACCCTATGTCGGCTATGTAAAAAGCAAGTTCTTAATAAAACGTAGATAGGATCTTTTCGAACCTGATTTTAAGCAAATTACACACGAAAGTCCTCCAGAAATCCTTGGCAATATACTAGACTTCTACAATTTGAAGAAAACTGTTAGTGTGTATCACAG